CCGTGTCCGATGTCAACGGGTTTTGGCTGCGTTGATCCTAGACAGGATCTGAAGCTATTAGTTTAAAGAGGCCTTTGAGAGGATCAAGAAGAACCTTAACCGCTTAGCTCTGTCCCAAAACTGAAAGACTTTCTCTATCTGCCCGTTTTCGCTTAAGTATCGAATTAACGACGAAGGCGATGACGGATAACTCGTTTTGCAGTGATTCAAAAATCCCAAAACGTTCAGGTAGATTCAAGATAATTCTATAGATTGGGAAGAACCTTATCGGGGGTCGTTTCGGTCAAAACTGTGATAGTTTTGCTATATGGAGGTTATAGTGGCGACGATTTAGCGCGTTTTTTGATATCTCCGTATCTGTAGGTCGAATCTCTTTGAAACTTTCACAAGTCTTCAAGGTCAGTGTGCTCTACGAGGTTTCCGAGTTTGAAGGGGATCCAATTACTGGGGTAGATTTTCGATCCGTGGACGCATTACGAATTGGCTACTAGTAAACACGCGTTTATGTCGACTACGTGTCGACCGTTGAACGTATACTCTCAAGATGTTGATATACCGCAAGAGTAACGTGTGGATGGCAAACTGTGAGTTACGGAGGTTTGTTTAACCATCCAGGTACAAAAAGCGAGGTGGTTGCCACGTATCGATCGTTCCACTAGGTAAATAACCTAGAGGTCGGCGCTTTTCGACTATAGCGCACCAGGGGCTTCAGGAGTTACGGTGGACGTTATCCTGGACGTCCTGAAGATTTGAATCGTCTAGAATGATTGTATCGACGTTCTGTGACGATTGCTACGTCCGCAATTTCGAGATGCTGAAGTTGCCGACGTGTTTATCTACTAGGAAGCTCGTTTTGTTTGAACGAGTGGTGCTACCATGTGATGTGGACTACCTTCCACACGGGTTGTTTAACTGATGTTCGTATACAATAACTACTTTGCTGTAAGGTATTGTAGACGGACTGGGTGTTCGTCGGCTCTGCTATGCGATATGTAGTAAAAGAACTACTTGTTGTGCATAGGAACACGCGACGAGCACTGTTAAAGTACCCATGAGCTCGGAGTCCACTGGAGAACACTCTCCAGTGAGGCATTAAAAGAATTAAAACCTCGAACCCACTGGAGAACACTGTCTGGGACATGTCTCGCACTCCTAGCGAGACATGTCTCGCCGACACGTCGTTCTCCATCTAGACCGGACAACCCACATTACAATGTTACTGGAGTAACTTTCCTCAGAGGTTCACTTCTCTGAGGGATTCTTGCGAAAGGAGGGCCCTGAGTACCGTATGGCTGACGTTCTGGGGCTTGATAAGCGTATGGAGCAGTGCAGGGCGTTGCGCGCTGAGAAGGCGCATGGGGTGCCGGTGACAACGGGGTCATATATAGCGCATGGGGTGGCCTCCGAGGTTCACTTCCTAGATAAAATCTCGCGAAAGGACGGCCTTGAGTGCCTGTTTGAATGGGTGGCTTTTGTTCCGGGGCTCGATAAGCGTATGGGACGGAGCAAGCCGGAGCGCGCAGAGAGCGCGCATGGGGTGGCCTTAGAGGTTCACTTCCGTGATCAGCGGAAGGAGGGCCTTGAGTGCCAGGTTGAGGTGCCAAGTAATTAGAACAAGGGCTGAATACCGGCGATGGGGTGAGCGGGTTCACGGGGGGGACAGTAGGTCCGCCTCGTTGAGGCACTCGCTCCTGATTCAAGAGATAGGTAGTAACTAGTCCAGTCACAGCAGCGTAACTAGTCCAGCCAAAGCGTTCCTCTCGGCGAAGAAGCCTGTCCTGCTTGATTGGAATATATCCTGCCTGACTGGGATCCATTGTGGGTCCGTCAGGAGGGGGTTGTCGGTTTCCGTGCGTCCGCGCGATTCGGGCGCATCCACATAAGGCGTGGTTGCATCCTTCAACTCTGCCAAAGTCGCAGAAAACTCCTCCTTCCTCTTCCTCTAGTAGCCGGCGGGAGTGGGTTCAGGAGAGCTCTCCCTTGAGAGCGCAAATTAGGGGCGGAGGGTTTGCCGGATGCTAATGCAGCAGAGCGTGCTTTCTGAGTTTGGTTTGTTGAACCAGTGACGGAAGACCGACCAAGAGTTCTTTATCTATCCTGACCCACCCGCTAGTAGCGGGCGGAGCCAGGGCTCATAACCACTTAGCAGTAGTCAGCAGAGGAAGCAGATGACTGAGCTAACTCTATGTTTTGCGAGATGTAGTACTGTGAAGTATGTATTAAAGTCTGAAGTAGAAAGAGGACGCGAGGTCCGAAGGGGAAGAGAAGAGTGAAGTCCCGTACGCGGAAGGGTGGCGTAAGCGGGAGGGAAGTCACGTGAGGAACTAAACTACGGGAACCCTAACCGGGGACTTGGGAGGATGATACCTCCAACAGAAACCACTCTAAAAGGCAGTCCTGCTGCATATCCCCTCCCTTCACTTTATCCCCATCAATACACATCTCTCTACTGCACCATTCTAGCTACAACACTGCAACACTCTAGCTCAGATACACCCATATCAGCTAAGGTTTCAACATGATGTCCTTTCCGATGTCATTTCGCCGTTGGCGGTTGAAGAATCTCATGTCCTAAAGTGTGTGCGCATCTGCTTTACGGATTGGTAGTGGAGGAAATCAAATCATGCATATGGCTGCTCTACTCTCCTCAAGGCCATCAGCACCCCTGCACATTATGCACTGGTCGTCGTCATCCTCTGCAGGATCTTCCCTGTCGCAGCTTGCAATCACCATCATCGCTAATCCCACGGTGTCATCTGCACCACTCACATAAGGTTGCCAGCATACCTCTGCACCATGCCCAGTGAAGGTCGATTTCATCCTCTGTAAATTTGCCCCCAAGCACTATTCACGCGGTTCGCTTGGCACGGCGTCATTGGACCCACGATTTTGCTCAATCCCAAGGTCTTTGCTCACATGAGGAGTCATCTGCATCTCATCACTCAAGGTCGTCATTATACTTCTGCAACTCTACCCACTCACACCGTCAGCATACTCGGTGCATGAAACACATCTTCCAAATCAATGCCCTGGGCCCATGGAACATGGGAACAAGGGCTTTCACACGCAAAGTTTGTGAATACTGTCGTCACGTGAAGTACCATCTTTTCCACGTGGTGAAATAAATAATGCTGACCACACCATTTCATCAACGTTGTGGTGAAGACCACATCGCCAAGGACGTCAACGCGGGGCAGGATGTGGCCAACCACGGTCTATCAGTTATCGTGGTCCAAACCCCACCCACTTGTACCAGAACGCTTGACCTCCACCGCCTACATCCCTCTGTCATCTCCTCTCCTGGATGGTGGACGTGGACGGAGAAATCAAATGGATGATGTGGACGACGACGTGGACGTGGAGCAAGTGGACCAAGCGGACGAGAACCACGTGGACGATGTGGATGTGGATCATTATCGTGGTCCAAACCCCACCCACTTGACCTTCCACCACCTACATCCCTCTGTCATCTCCTGGATGGTGAACGTGGACGGAGAAGTCAAATGGATGACGTGGACGACGACGTGGACGTGAACCAAGTGGACCAAGCGGACGAGAACCAAGTGGACGACGTGGATGTGGATCAAAGAATCTTGCCGTGCTCACATATTATAGCCCGAGGGCCACATGTCCAATCTGCGTGTGGACGTCCTGGAAACAGCATCCCTGGGGCCCAAGATGCGGGTACCATAGCTATGCAACAACATGCACACATATCTTTGTTTGTTGACGTGGTGGAGGCACCCTGTGTGGTGCGGCCGCAGTAGATAAAGGTGTTGGGGAGGCAGCCCTTTGGATGGCATATGATGCCGACCACACCATTTCATCAATGTGGTGGTGAAGACCACATCGCTGTGGCAAACGTGGATGGTGGGGACCTGGACAAGCATGAGGACGTGGATGAGGACGTCAACTTGCCGCAGGACGTGGCCAACCGCGGTCTATGAGTTACCATGGTCCAAAGCCCAACCCACATCTCCGACGCCCAAGATTCAAGTTCGTCCCATCCCAAAGAGAAGGATTGTCATAACTGACGTCAACTCGTGGACGGAGAACGTGGACGGCAACTCATTTTTTCTCAGTGTTCCATGGTGAGCATGGTGGCACCTCACCACGATGTGGATGTGAATCAAAGAACTCTTTTGAGCTATCGAGTGCTATGTCAAGCTACGGTAGGAGGGAGGGTCCCTGCGGCGTGTGTCTGCTTACCTGCGCTGTGGTGAAGGCTTTTAGAGATTGGTTGGGGGTTTGCCTTGATGTGCAAGGGTGCAAGTGTGCGGAATTGTGAGAAGGATGTCGGTCTCGGTTCAGGTCCTTCTTCTCGCGGCGGCCCAGGGCTCCAAAGCCACGCGCGAGAGTGCGTGGCCCCTCTCTAAGTTATATCCTTGGAGATCGTCCGTTCATCGTCTCGACCGAGCTTCATCCGCCGGACATCTAACCGCATGCTTTCGACGCCGCACCACATCATCATTGACACATCGTTGTCTCACCTCGCCATTGGACGAAACATACCTTACCTTCCCTTCCGTTCCCTTCCCTACGAGAACGCCATCATTTCTTGCTTCTCACCGAGTCCTTCCTCTGCTCGTCACCCGTTCTTTCCCCTCTTCCTTGCTCGTCACCGACTTGTTACCAGCTTGTTCATCCCCCCTTCCTTGCTCGTCGACTTGCTCGTCACCCTTCCTTCCCTCGCAATACATCTTCACAATACCCCTTGCTCTCATACACAATCCCCTTCCCTGCTCATCTTGCTTGTCGTCACCCGTTCCTTCCCTCGCAATATCTATACATCTTACAATTGGAATCATATCTTCTGAGAACCTTACAATTTGGCTCTGCTGTTGCGATGTTGCTTGCATTGTCCGGTCCAAAACGTCTCTCGCTTGGGCATGCGCTCTATCGGTGTAACCTGGATAACACAGGCGAGGCCCAACCTGTATGCGATATCCCTCACGGGGCGGCTTCTTCAGCGAGCGAGAAGGTGTGGGGCCACTGAAAGATATTTCCTTGGCAAAGGAGCACATTTTGCGGCATCAAACGCTAGTGGAGGAAACCAAGCGCACACAAGAAACCGATCTATAAAACTATGGTACAATCTGAGCTACTATACAACCTGATGAGCTTCATAGCTTGGAGCTTGGGACATGACCGATGACCTCACTTCCAAGCTCCCAACCGATCGCTCAATAATCCTCAAAATCCAACAAGGCATCATCATCCCCTCCATACTCATGCGCCCCTCTCCCACCCGGGAACCCACCCGCAAACGGGCCGGAGGCGAATGAATCACTGCCTCCATGGTCGCCGCCCACCGGTTGGTATCCGTGGTCGCGGCGGCCCAGCCAGCGAACTCGCACCCATTCCCAGGCGTGCCCGGTTTTCTCAGCAATGATCTCGGCGATGCCGACGCCGACGGAGACGACGGTGAGGAGGGCGCCGTTGAGGCCTGAACCGCGGGAGCGGCCGAATGTAGAAGTTTCTGTATTGTCGTCGGCGGGAAGTCTGTAATGCGGTGGAAAGAATGAGCATAAGGGTACAGTTTCGGGACGCAGCATGAGACAAAAAACAAACTGCGAACGTACCTGATCCGGCCAAACAACCTTTCGCGATAGTTGACGAATCCCCACGTGATAAAACCGGCACCCCCAACAGACGTCAAGATGACCAAGAACCAGCTGCCAAACCCAAGCGACCTATTCCCGCAGGACGCGCCTAATGTTCCCTTGTGGAGCTCAAGCCCACCGTGGCACTTGGATTCCGTCTTCAACCGGTAAGCCGTAGACCACAACCGGCCGTCCTTGCATTCCTGAGGGACGAGACCGCCAGCGCTGGCGGAAAGCACGCACTTTCCGTCCACTCGCTCGTGGTTATACTCGCACTCGAAATCAGCTTCTGTGCACTCGCACTGTTTTTTTGCGGGTGCGATCGGCGTGTCGCCCATGCGGCAAACAGCGTTCTGCTTCCGACGGTATCTTATAGTCTTCTCGCCAAAGAAGCATTGGTCGGTAGGGGCAGGGGCGTTCGGCTGGCTCAGGCGTTGAGGGGCCCAGGCTTCCACATCCGAATCGCCGGCGCCCGGATCCGTCTTGCACGCGTTGAGCGAGTTCATTTGGTCCGTGAAATCCAGAGTAACGACCGCGCTTTCCCCAGTCGCCAGCTCGCCGACGAGGACAAATACGGTGCTGGTACCGCTGGGCTCCGAGAACATATAATGTACGGCCATTTTGCCTCCGGCCTTGATGGTGATATCCTGCTCCTCGAACGTGCGACCGTAATCCCGCGAAAGCTGCACCCTCGAGATCGGCTTCATCTGGCCCACCAGAAGGATAAGACCTCCCTGGTCGCCAAACTCCCACTTATGAGGTCCCATGGCAATTTCCGTCCAGGTGTGGCCGGCGTCACTACTCAGGTAAGTGTTATGTAAGCTCTTGGCCGTGTTCAAAGATTTGCCCACATTGCCATTTCCGATGATGAGGCCAGGCGCTGTTTTGGCGGAAAACTGGTCGCGAACGTCTTGCCGAGAAGTGTACGAGCTGAGATGTAGAGCGCAGTCGTCCAATGACTTCGAGTCCTTGCAGTAAGCCTGGTGATCCTTGCTTTCTGCTGGGGGCTGCAGAAACGACCAATGAGCACCTAATACGGTAAATCAAAGTCAACATCAATTTGTGGGCCGCCATTGTGGTTGAAGAACCGAACAAGCATTCATACCATCGTCCAACGTAAGCTGAGTCTGCAAGGCGTTTTCACCACCACCGCTATGGATACCGAGGTTGACAATGTTCATGAGTGCAATACCCTCGACGCCAGCCATCTTCTCGAAATCGGTGTAGCTAGACGAAAGCTGTTAGCAGCAGTTCCGTCGTTCCGCCTTCCTTGTATGCCGCCAGTTGTACATACCCTTTGCTATTCATATGCAACATGCTCTTGCGTTTCTCATAAACGGTAGCATTTCGGTTCCCAACAAACAACGAAGCGTACTCCTTTCTGCTCGACGCATCATCATCCTCAAACACTGCCAGAAACAGACTGCCAGACGAGCTGTCCAAAAGGGTGTACCCCCGCTTCAGCACCGTGTCGCCGGGGAACTGCGCACGAGCCCAGTTGTTTCCGTCCTCCGAGACGTAAATCAGGACCTCTTTTCGAATAGGGTCTTGTTTGACGGCCAGGATGTACTTTTCAACCACGGCGAAATCCGAGACGGCATCCATGGCGGTTGAGACAATCTTTTTATCGGATATCTTCATCAGGACGCTGTGGCCAGCGGGCTGGGCGACCCTGTCAACGCAAAGAACGGCGGACTTGTCCTGCATCCCGGAATCTTTCGTATATGCCCACTCGCACTTATAAACGTCGTGCAGACCTTCAATCTTGTCCCAATGCGATCCAAAGTTTTTCGTGTACCATGCCTGACGCTTGGCTTGGCCCTTCTCCGCCTCTTTGTTGAGCCAGAGCAACCACCCCTTCTCGGTGGGGTGGGTGCGAAGGGGTAGGTACGAATCGATCTCTTCGACATTGAAGGGCGCCTTGATCTCTTTGACCTGTGAGCCATCCGAGATGTCAAAGACGTAGAGCTCTTGCGCGGGTGCCTCGGAGCGGAAAAATGCACGCTCTGTATGGAAGGGATCCTGGGCAACCGCGGTGATCTTCTTACCGTCCAGAAGAGGCTTCCAGACCTTGCCGCCGTCTTCACTCAACCAGTGAGATGACTTGCCTCCAGACACCAGTTGGATCATCACATGAGTTCGGTCGAAATAGAAGTATTGCCTGTAAGTTCCCGTGGTTTTCAGCACCGATATCGAAACACCGCTTCCGGTTTTGCCGTCCCACTTCTTATTGACTGGGTCGGTCTTCCCCTTGAGTTCGGGTTCGCATTTCGAGGCCAGAATCTTGCGGTAACCTGACGAAGTTTTGTACTCTCCATTACTGGGTCGCGTCAAAGGTTGATTGGGGTCGGGGTGTCCGTTCAGATCGCATTTCCCATCTTTCAAAAGTTCGAAGCCAAAGTCGCTATGATGTTCGAAAAAAGTGTCAGATATTCGTCTCCAATAACGCCCTCGCAACAGAAAGGTAATCATCCCCACCATTCGTAGTCAGCGTCTTCACAAGGACACGTTTTGGCAACCCTGAAGACTTCGCTACCCTTCGTAATTTTGCAAATCCCTTTCTTCCTGCGGAACTGAAGGTCCTGACCCAGAGTGCATTTAGACGCTGACGATGCCCACCCTTCAAAGTCGCCATCGGAGCAGTCTTTCCCAACTGTATCGGCGAGTTCAAAGGAGTAAACGAGCGTTTTCTTGTCAAAGGAGTTCGTGGGCGACCCGAACACTGCGAATCTGACCGAGTCCAATGTCGGGGTGGTGGTCAGCAGTTGTAGACGGATCGTTTGGTCGAATATTTTGGTCTTCCACGTCTGTCCGTAGTCTGTAGTATACTCCAGTTTATTGGTCGGCCCTTCATCGTTTACAAGAACAATAGTGCCACCATGATTTCCCACCGCCCACCGGTGGGCGTCCTTGTGAATCTCAGCCCACGTTCGGCCGGCATCAGTCGTGAGGTACACATTTCCATCCCGGTACTCATCAAGACGCTTCCCGACGTTGCCTACGGCAATCATGAGCCCTGGAGCGTTCGGATCGGAGTGGATGGCGGAGGCGACCCTGTGGATCGGTGTCTGCATGTTGCCTTGGCAGTACAGGTGAAGATTACAACCCTGATCGGCCTTACAGTCGGAGTCCTTTGCGGGAGCAGCCAGGGCAGACCAGGTGGCACCATCGTCAAAGGACATGCGACTGGCGACCGATTGTGAGAATGGGTTCCTGTCTGTAACGACGTTGGCGAGGATGGTGCCGTTGATCCCCTGCATCCGCTCGTAGTCGACACGCCCTTTCGTTCGGTGAGTATCATGCAGAATCGGCTGGAACGTTTCGCCACCTTGATCCGATTTCAGCAAAGTGCCCTGAGTGTTGACCCGGCCTTGAACAACATCGAGGAAAACGGATTTGTCAGATTGCAGTAATGTGAATTCCTGTAAGGAGCAAAACAAATCAGTATCTCTACCGCGACGGAAAAAATCACAGAATGGTAAACTTACGCCTCCTTGAATAGCCATATCAGGTGGATACCGCGCTGCCTTGAACTCCTTGCCGTTTTTCGACACCATGAGCTTCAGCTCATGGTTGTCTTCCACCGCCACGACGAGCGTTCCAGCGACGACGAAGAACTCCCTTACACCTCGTTCGATAAGCACGCGACGCGTGGGAACTTCCGACTTCTCGTAATTGGTGATCTCCACCAATTGCAGGGCATTCTCGCCAGGTCCAAAGTGAGACAGGATGTCCTGCCCCACAGTGCCGTGTTTGTTCTTATAACTCAGGCAGTACACGGCATCTTCCGGAATGCTCGCGTCGTTGTACCCAACATCCCGAGCGAAAATACATTTGTTGGCCCAAGTCTCGATGGGGCGCGGTTGACCGCCAGATCCCCACGTTTTTCCGTCGTCTTTTGTGACATAGGCCGTCGTGAAACAGGGCTTTCTGAGATCCTGCCCGCATTGGCGGGCACCCCCTAGAAATGTGTACCATTCGGCTTTTTCGGGATGAAAGTCGATGAATGGCATGCCGAGGCCGTTGTATGGTTCTGGGGTGTTGATCTGTTTGACGGACTTTGCTTCGTCTTGTGACAAATAGATTTCCTTATCCGTGAACAGGAAAGCCCACCGGTCCTGCGTTTCGTGCAATCCCATTCCGAGGACAGGTCCTTTTCCTTCCATCACGGCTTCATTCCACGTGGCGCCGAGGTTCTCACTGCGCGAGATTTTGCCGTCAAACGTTTGCGCCAGCATTACATCAGACTTGCGAAACTGTAATAGGCTGGCAACCCCAGCACTGAAGCTAGCTGCTGGCTTTGCTTCATCGGCGCGGGAGTGGAGCGGTGGGACGTTTTCGGGGTTTGACAGCCCGACAGCGCTAGCAGTCCTAGCCCACACACTTAGCAGAGCTAACGACCCCGCTATTTTGAACTTGCCCAACGCCTTTGAGCATGTTCTGCGAGCTACGGAGTTCGGAGAGTCCTGCTCGGCAGGACGCAGTATTGACAGCATTCCGTCAGTCGACTTTGACGAAGCGTATGCTCGATCTTTGCGAAGGTCTACACGGGTTGCCGGGGTGTCGAGACAGCTTAGGGCCCTGAATACGAAGCAATCCGGACCCAATAAGAAGGTCTGTCTGGGGGTTTAGACCGGTGAGACGGTTGGAACTTTAGTGGTGCAAAATGCGGAGATTGCGGTGATAGATCATACCTCAAGTCTATTCTGAGCTTCCCGAACGACTCGAGGTCTGAGCAAGCTGCGGACCCTAGATCTGGACTCCCAGTTTGCAAAGCGAAAGCTTCTCAAAGTGAGTGGGTGGGGTGGGTGAGCACAGCAGGTGTTTTGGCTTGACGGTGGTGACCGCTGAGAAAGCACACAGAAATGCCAAGACGACGCATTACGTACGTAGTCACCGTGTGGGGCCTTCTCATCGAGAGTTAGAAATGAGAGTCCTACGCGTTGGCTGTCCGAAGACTCCGAATTCACAACTAGAGTGGAAAGGACAGTTTCGCATACCCTCGCATACACACGCACACATCCGGTCAACCGCAACTGAGAAAGGTGGGAACTTAGAGACACGAGTGAGCGAAAATGGTAAGCGTGCACGGGTCATTCGGCGTCCTTGGGCGACCTGTCGCATCGGGGGTAAATCTAAAGCTCACCTCGCATTCCATTTACCAGGCAACAACATCCTATCGCCCGAAAGCGAACCTCGCAGCCTCCAAACGCGCAACTAACCCGGTATCCTCCAAATCCGCCCAGCCGGCACACGACCTCACCGCCGACCAAAAGCAGGAGATCCGCGAGGCCTTTGATCTCTTTGACACCGATGGCAGCGGCACGATCGATACAAAGGAGTTAAAGGTGGCGATGCGCGCGTTGGGGTTTGAGCCAAAGAAGGAGGAGCTCAAGAGGATGATTGGGGAGGTCGATCGGACTGGGAGTGGGGTCATTGACTTCAACGACTTTTTGGGATTGATGAGTGTCAAGATGGTAGGAATGGGTGTTTTAGGAATCTGACCTCGTAAGGTCGATATCTGACCCTTCCCTTTGGAATATTGCTAGTCCGAGAAAGACACACGCGAGGAAATTATCAAAGCATTCCGCCTATTCGACGACGATGGCACCGGCCGAATCTCGTTCAAAAACCTGCGGCGGGTCGCCAAGGAGCTCGGCGAGAGTCTCACGGACGAGGAACTGCAGGAGATGATCGATGAAGCCGATCGGGATGGCGATGGCGAGATTAACCAGGAGGAGTTCCTGCGAATCATGAAGAAGGCGGTATGTATTGACCCTTGAGACGCTCAATGCATCCCACACAACGCTTTGGTGACCGACTACTAATATTCATGTCCTGTCGCAGAACCTGTATTGAACGCCTGAGGAAACTGAGAACAGAGTGTACATAGTTTTTTGGATAGGATATGGATCCGCCCCTGGCGCGGAAAGACGGTCATGCCGAAAGGGAAGAGAGGCGACAATTGCTGTACAAGGCTTTAGAATATATTTATGAAGTATTACATGCGCTACAGTTCGCAACAACAGAATACAACTGATCCTAGGCCATGGAATAACCCGTCAGTCGGTCCCTAGCTATGTATACCCTTTTGAGGCCAGAAAGCAAATAGAGCTCCACCCAAGCCCACTCTACTACTCCCTTCTTTGATACTTTCTAGGAACAAGGTGACACTACTTCAGCGTCGAAAGCAATGAGGTCGTTCTCCATTGAATGTATTCATGTGGAGGAAGATTGTTCGGATATTGCGAGCCGCATTGGTGTCTCTATTCCAAGCAGTCAAACATAAGTCTGGGCAGACCTAAGGGCAAGAAGTCAGAAACGCAGTTGTGTGTGGTTGAGAAGCCTCCATCACGTACCTTGACTTGCCAGAATGTAGTCTTTCTAGGAAGCTCTCCATCGCACAACGAACATGTCACCGAAGTGCGGTACTCGTCTATCTTTCTCAAACGACATTTCCCCCGAAGCCGCTGCCCCAGCGCTTTCGTTGGAGTGCTAGCGTGACCTCTTGAGTTAAGAGCAAACTGCCCATTACCGAAGGCGACGATGGTACGTGGATTGTTCTGAGTAATCCGCTTCACCAGCACGTCCCAAGCTTTTTCTTTGGCAATGTGACTTTTCCAACGCAGACGCTTCCATCGTCGTTGACCGTAGAAGTCGATTAGGGTGAGCATGTGCTTCAAAGCATGATGAAGGTGGCGACAGAAGGAAACGACCGATGCGGTCTTGGCCGTAGGCATAGACCCGTTGATTTGTTTGATCGCGGGATGGTTCTTGTGCCACTTCTCTCTGTGCTTGCGACCGTGGTCAAAAGCAGCCCGCTGGTAGTAGTCCTTCTTGCTACACCCTTTCACGCGTCCCTTCTCATCTCCGTCAACGACCGCAAAGATATCGATACGTCCAGGATCCAAACCCACAACGGGGTCATCTTCGCGGACATCCAAAGCGTGGTGATTCCCCTCCTCATCGAATCCATAATCATCCAACTCCGTCGCGACGTTGTATCCTCCCTTTCGATACCTTTCCGCATCTCTCTTGGCCCTCCTTCCTCCAACGCTTGCAGCCAACCCGTCCGTCGAGAAACGAAACGCAAATCTCCTTTGCCTTGTCTTGTTGTGCATCACATCATCCATCGTAACCACTTTCTCCGTTCGACAGGCCCACTTCCACCAATATTGGTATATCGGGATGTCCGGTGACGCAAAGGGCGCACATAGTGGTTCGTATTCTTCAACAGGCGGAAGTAGTCCATCGATGTTGCTTGGAGGCGGTGGTAATGGGTCTCTGAACTTATCCAATGCAGGTACAGCGATTCATGCGCTCCTGCGAATGATGCAAAGAGCGTGTACTTAGATGAGTGGGGAGAAATCGAGATGGAAAGTGATGAGTCCGCGGGAGGAGGGATGAGCTCGGCGGCGGAGAATCGGGATGTAGACGCTGTTCGTTTGCGCGATCGCATTGCAGAGGAGATCTGGACGGGAAATACGGCGGTTCCCGCTATCGCCGCGTTGTGATGTTTATTTAGAAATGCAATCAACGAAAAGCCAAAAAAAAACCACTCAATGTTCAAGTGTTTGTGGTTGTGGTTGTGAGCAGGGGGTCTGCACGACCTAGGGGTTGCGAAAGAACATGTGTATGATGATCAATCGACGGCGAACTTGGAGGATTTGAAAGGTATGAGCAAGTTCCTTACCAGAATACGTTCATTCGTAGAAATCGCGCTCGTCGGCGGCTTCATCCTCTTCCATCTCCATCGCAACATCCTCATCCTCGTCATCCCACGATGCAGCAGCCCCCTCATCCGTCAAATCCGCACCCTCTGTGTCTCCGTGTGAGGACGCCGCCTCCCCTGACTCCGTCTCCATCTCATGTCCTCTCGTCGTCCTCGTGGAAATCCGCAATCGCCGCCTACAGTAGGTGCTCAAAACAGAGTTTGCGCGCGGGCACACCCTCTGGTTTGCCCACCTACTGTCCGTTTAGTTGATGTGCCGATACTGCCCACATAGTGTCCATCAACAACGAAGTCTCCGCTCGCTCCCCCACCGGCGTCGTCATCAACAACAAGAACCACCTTCTCCATATTCCCCGCGCTCTCCGCATTCCGATGCTTAGGTTGATGATGTAACCTGCCTAGTTCAATGAGATGGACAACCAACCTTGCCGGCGGGCCACCCTTTGGGTTTTCGTGAGGTCAACCGCGTTCTCTTTGTTGTCTCGTTTCCGCTTGTTCATGGCTAGCGTGCTGTACGTAATAGGAAACAATGAGGCGATGGCACCATGATACCCGGTTTAGATGGATCATAAAGCTTAACCCTTACAAGTTACGACACAATGCTCCACCCTTGTCGGTTATACCTCCTTCTCCTTCTTCTTCTCCTTCTCCGATCTTGGTCTTGATCTTAAAAAGATGCTGGGGGGAAGGGTCCGAGCCGTCACAAGGCGTAACGCGGATGTGTGTGTTCACGTGTTCACTGTTGCTTGGTCGCGGAGGGCCGTAGTTCGCGCTGAAGGAAGGCTTTAAGTGCGCGCTGAAGGCAGTAAGTCCCACAGCGAGGCTGTAAGTTCGCGCTCAAGGAAGGCTGTAAGTGAGCGCTGAAGGCATGTAGTGTGCGCTGAAGGAAGGTTGTAAGTTCTCGCCGAACGCTGTCAGTGCGCTTTGAAGGCTGTAAGTTCAAGCGTGAAGGCCGTAAGTTCGCCGTCTTGAAGGTTGTGGTTTCGCCGTTTTGAACGCGATAAGTTCGCGCTGAACGCTGTAAGTGCGCCCTTGAAGGTCGTAGGTTCGCCCAGAAGGGTGAGGGGGGTTAGGGTCGGCGGAGGAAGACAGCATAGCCCGCGTGCGATTCAAAATTCACACTCATCGTCATTGAATTCAATTAGAAGCAGAGACAGCCAGGAGACAGCTTTTTGTCCCCTGACTGTACGTACATGTACATGCAGCAACAGCGAAGGGAAGACGAAGAAGCCAGTGCACATTACCAGTGTCAAAACCAGGAAGGAATGTATATCGATCATTGTAAATAGGATCGTCTCACCATTATACCATCAAATATACCATCGAATGAATGCCATGCAGTCAAGTGCAAATTTCACTCCGGTAACAGCTCAGAATGTTCTGCTTGCTACTCTACTCTAATGGTATGGGCACTGCTGTGCACGCATTGATTCACAGAGGTGTGAGTAAACATCCATTTCAAGAGGGGGAAGAGGGGCCTGTTCGAAGAGTACCTCTCGATTATGGCGATGGGGGCGGAAGGGGAGGAACGCTCAAAACGAGCCGTCGTCGTAGACAAGCGTCAATGGACACGGATGCTCGCCTTGCGTGCCAAACCGGCTGTGTAGACTCCGCCGGCCTCACTTTCTCGCCCTCCTCGAGCAACTGCCGCGGTGTTTTGCCGTCATGGGATGGGTGATGGGATGTGTGGCGGTGTTTTGCCGTAATGGGGATGAGTGATGGAATAATTATGTGGGCCCTGAATAGGAGTGTTGTTCCACTTCTCCTGGAAATCGGCCAGCCATGGGTTTATGAGTGCAGACCTCTGTTATGATGGCGCTTATGGCCCGGCGAGGGTCGTCGCACGGGGTACCTGTCATGTCGAGATACTGTATGTCGTTCCTACATGCCCGGATGGAGTAGGCAATGCGCCAAGGGCCAATGAGTGGTCGCAGTGGCAGAAGGCCCCAGCGTCTCGAGCGTCTCAGAGCTCTCAGAGCCCAGAAATCCACCAAGTCGAAAATAAGAACGATGCCACGTGACCGGGGAACTTTTTCCTAGGGAAATGTTGTCGAAATTCTCCATGATTGAAACTTGGCCGAAAAATGTTGAAGTCTCGTGCACAGTCAGCAAAATGTTTGTCTCTCATGGCCAAATGTTGACTTCTCGTGCGCATGATCAAAATGTTTGCATGTTGTGAGACAAAAAAACGAAAAAGTTCACCTCCCATGTATTTTTGGCAGAAGCGGTGGCCCATAGCCGGTGAGAGCAGTGGGAGAAAGAATTGAGAATACCCCACATCTTGAAAATATAACGGATTTTATGGACTGCCAGTAATTCTACAACTCTCACGTCTCCATAATTGCATCCATATGAGTAACTTCACGTCTCCATAATTGCATCCATATGTACGTCTCCACTTTATGAAGTAATGTTTCCCGACCGCACACATATCTCTTTCTATGGGTATACGTAAATGGATATGGAACTATATACACGCGCCAGAATAATGTGGTATGGAAGCAACGCGTTCGAAAATGTTGTTGTGCGGGAAAAGCGATGGGAGCTCCACTTCATGTGGACAGCTGACGCAATCTTGCCACGTCCCTAACCGCGCTTCTCAGCGACAGAAGAATGCGTCTCCAAGCCCGGCTGCGCTTGGGCACTCCCATCCGCCTTGTCGCCCGTCCCTGGCCTCTCTCCAGCGGCACCAACCGCGGGTGCCGGCGGAGTCATACCCATCTTGCGATGCTTTTCCCTCAACGAATCCACATCGACCTGATCAAAGATATCGACGCACAGCCGTGCGGCTGCGCCTTGGGCGATTCCAAACGCCATTGGCCCGATCCATGGGATGGAGACGAGATACCAGAAGGGGAGTGTGAAACCGGCAATGAGCGCTTCGTTGCGATTGAACCAGGCTCGGCGCTGTGAGATGGAAACGGTCCGTTAGCAACCTTTTCGGAGGTATGCTTGAACGAGAATAGGCAACGCACCTGTGCATGCCCCATGCTGGACCGACACAGATATGGCTCAATCAATTCCCTCTCCAACGACCTGAACCCCCATATTCCGCGCAAAAGCGGCCCCTTCACAAATCGCCACCACGGGGGCGATATAACTCCCACTGCACATGTATACGCCGCACGCCTCCACCCTATCGCCATGCCCAGATAGAAGAACGTCGCTCCCGGCCATATCAAGAGGCCCACGACGGGTATCAGAGAGATTATGTACAAGGCGCCCAGTAACATCAGTCGTTGAGCATAGCGGCGCAGATACGCGAGAAGTCGCAACGTCCACTTTTTCCTCCCGCCGATGATACCCAGTGTGGCTTGACTATACGATCTTAAATCTGCTGACGATGTGGATATCTTGCGATCCTCCTTTTCGTCCATCGTCCGCGCAAATCGCAATGCGAACCGCGCCTTACCATTCGGTATCGCCATCGTCAGTGTCAAACCCCGCAATGTTTCAAAGAACACCCGATCCAGCGGTTCCGGATAGATGTACCGAATCAGATACATTCCCGCATCCGGAGTCACTCTCACAAACCACCTCATGACGGCATCGAATGTATCCACCACCCAATTCAGCCATCCGACGAGCCTTTCGCCGACAATCGGCCGGATAAGAATGTGCGCGAACCAGTGTATTATGCGGAGAGGTAGGAACGCGGCATGAGTGATTGTAACGAGAATTAATGTGGCGAAAACGAGGTAGAAGAAGGCTCGGAAAAGAACGCTTCGTGCGCGTGGGGCGCGAAGAGTGAACGCTGACCCTTCGTATGCGAGGTGCAAGCCTTGCAAGACGGATTCGGTTGACCATGTGGCCAAGTGGGGTGGATTGAGGAGAGGTAGGGATGTGATGCGGTCGATAAGGGATTGCACTGGGGCGGGTAATGTTGGCCATGGAAAATTTATATCTGGTGCTGTTTCCGTAGGTGCTGTTTTGCTCTGCTTTTGCTCGAGCTCATGCTCCCCGACCGCTGCCATTGTTGATAGGCACCGTGGCTTGCGAATGAGACAGTCCTATGGCAGTGGTATCTCCACGTTACGCGAGCCGGGACTAGCACGCTCGCCCGGTCGTAAGACAGTCGCCGAACTCTGGCAATGCGGACACGCAAGAACTTCGGATATCGCACGCGAGAATGGATAAGGAGAGACCAGCGGGCGCAGCCGTCCACTCACTGCCTATGAGCAATCCTACGGTAAATTCTACATACACAGAGATAGTGATGCCTATCGACGTCTTGAGAAGGGAAGCGGGCTGAGAGCGAGACAGCCAAGGACCAAAGGCCCGCCTGCCTCCGTGACGTGGACAGTAGGGAGCACAAGCCACAGCGGCGCCACGTTGGGCGCCACACGTCTGGACTGCACTTTCCCAGCTCCTCTGCCAAATCGCGTTGTGCTCGCTTTGGAACCCACAAACTGCAAAAACCGCCCCTTCGCAAACGTGCAAACATGACCGCTGACTCCACAACTGCGGCGACAGGCGGGTCTCCCCCTGCCCTCGACTCCAAAGTGGAGGTGCGACTAGACGATCGTCCTACTGGTGTTGCTCCCGTCAAAGCCGAATTCCGAAAAGGTAGACCAACCGGCAAAGTAGGCATCCTCCTAGCCCCTAAACCGGAAGTCGAAGACGCAGCAGAGGAAGACAAACTTTACAACGAAGGGAACTCGGAAGTCTCTGTGAAGCGCGAAAGAGACGAGGGCGCTGACGATGACGATAGCCCTGCGACGGCGGGCCCGCCTACTAAACGCGGACGAGGCCAAAACAAAAACAGAAGCAGGGCACCTATCAAAGACGAGATCAAGCTTTGCAAAGAAATTGCAGCTGGGAACGAATGCTCGTTTGGCGTGAATTGCAAACACTCTCATGATGTAGAAGCGTATCTCGCCGCCAAGGGACCCGATTTGGGGACGGAGTGTCCCGTATACTCTCTGTTTGGGAAATGCAAGTACGGCTATAAATGCCGATTTGCAGGTGCACACATGACCCCCGACGGGAAGTTGACCGAGGACACAGCGAAAGTGGCAGCCGTCTCAGAAAAGGAGATTTTCAAAAACATAATCGATGTTGACTTTCAGCGGAAGTTCCGCGGCAGGAAATTGCAGACGCCGAAGTCCGACAGATATGCTCGGTTTGTCGAAGCTGCGAAAATATTGAGGGAATACAACGTAGCGTTCGAGGTGGCTCAGGGCCGGGAGCGAAAGGCTGCTGGGCTGGTGGAAACTATGCCAGAAGGGAACATCGGGGAAGGCGTTGGTAGCGATGTCGTCGACCTTACGTCTGAGCCTGCGGCCGTTGACCTTACGAATGAGCCGCCCGTCGAGGCGCTTCCGATAAATTACCCGAAGAAGAATGAAAAATATTTAAAAGCGGAGAAAGTCCTGGAGGAATTCGAATACGACCCTATCAGCCTAAGATTCAAATGCGATAGATCTCGTAAGAAGACAATCGATTTCCGCGGAAAGACGTACTTGGCGCCTCTGACTACCGTCGGAAACCTCCCCTTCCGCCGCGTGTGCAAGGGCCTCGGTGTCGACATCACATGTGGCGAGATGGCGATGGCACAGAACCTGATGCAGGGACAAAGGCATGAATGGACGTTGACTCGTCGCCACGCGTCAGAAGACATCTTCGGTGTGCAGATTGCGGGCAACAGCGTGCAGATCATCACAAAAGCGTGTGAGGTCCTAAAAGACAGCGGCATGGAGATCGACTTTGTTGACCTCAACCTAGGGTGTCCCGTGGATGCTATCACTCGTATGGGAGCAGGAAGCGCTCTGATGGACAACCGCGGTAAACTGCTCGACATCATCGGCGGCGCGCACTACACGTTGGACGATATACCCATCACCGTCAAGTTTCGCAATGGGATCTTTTCCAACAAGCCCATCGCGCGGAAACTCGTTCCCAAATTCATCGAATGCGGCGCATCCCTCCTGACGCTGCACGGCCGCTCCAAAGAACAACGCTACACCAAACTAGCCGACTGGGACTACATCGCCCAATGCGCCGCGGATGCACGCAACACATGCGCCCAACTCAACATCCCCCAAGTCCCCTTCTTTGGCAACGGCGACGTACTCTCCTCGCAAGACTACTGGAACCACCTCGACCAAGCGAACATCGATGGTGCACTTATCGGCCGCGGCGCGCTCATCAAGCCATGGATCTTCACAGAAGTTAAGGAACGCCGCGTATGGGATATTTCGTCCCGTGAGCGGCTGGATATCCTGAAAGACTTTGCAAAGTTCGGGCTGGAGTATTGGGGTTCGGACACGCAGGGCGTGAACACTACCCGACGGTTCATGTGTGAATGGTTGTCGTTCCTCTACCGGTACATCCCTGTTGGGTTGCTGGAGGTACTCCCGCAGAGAATCAACGACCGTCCGCCGGCGTACTTTGGCCGTGATGAGTTAGAGACGCTGATGGCTAGTCCGAACTCGAAGGACTGGGTCAAGATATCCGAGATGTTGTTGGGCAAAGCTCCTGACTCGTTTTCTTTCATCCCAAAGTAAGTCTTCGTGCTGATCTGACTATCGGGTACCCGATTCTCATTCAACTGGCTTCCTTGGTTATCCTTCGTCTTTACAGGCACAGATCGAACGCGTACGAGACCGACGACTTTGAAGGATAAGGCCGAAAAACATTCACATCCCGTCTAGAATCATCCCTCGAACACGTTAACTTAAACAGTTTACACTGTTGTACATACAATTCTTGTCTGCTCGGTTCACCAGCTTGTTTGCATCTCAGGCAATGAAGGACATCTGTCATGTACATTATATTGTCCTTTACACACAACCCGCTGTTCTCGCCCGCCTACATGCGTATCCATCGCGGTGTACAGAAGGGGTATCACACTGTCATACTGGCCTTTAAGCCCAGACTTCTATTCCAAGAACTGGTAGGGATTCACTTCCGAAGCACAATAAAGGTATCACTCAGAAAGAATCTTGTCAATGCTCTCCTTGATAAACATCTTTTTATCGTCCATATTGGTGCCGAAATGGCTCTGCAGCTTCTCACGGATGGCTTTGGGTGTGAGTTCGTCCAGCTTACCATCTGCGATTGAGAGGTCAGAAAAATCCCGTCGTCCGCGCGTTACTTGACGTGAAAAGGGACAGTCTCTCTTACCATCCAGAATATCCTTAATGGCTTTTACGATGTCAGCATTGCTCGGCCCGCCCTCCTTCTCCGCAACCTTTTTCGTCTTCAGCGGCTTCTCATCCTCGCCCGCATCTTTCTCATTATCTTCCGCATCCGACGCTTCGTCCTCAGTCGTAATGAGTGCCGCTGATTTGATCTTGCTGCCCTTGCGCTTTGGCTGGAAGTGGCGGTGTTGTGTTTTCAGCACGAGAACGAAACTGTTCGCTCTGTGTAGAAGCCGTGATGGGTTACCTTCGTAGCAGGTTTCTTCAACTCTTCCAGCTTATCCTCATAGGATTTTTTCTCCTTCTCGCTCAGGGCTTCGTAGAGCTGCTCCAGCTTCGCCTCCAGCTTCTCACCCTCCTCCAGTTTCTTCTCAACGTCTCCCGTCTTGTCCTTTGCGAACACTTCGAACGCAGATTTCGGTTTTGGTTTCGGGCCCCGCTTTTTGGGCTCCTTGGGTGTGGCAATCGTTCGTTTCGTGTACTTTCGCTTCTTTGGTTCCGGGGAACCCTCGTCATCTTCATCCTCATCCCCTTCAACCTCATCTTCGTCCTCGTCATCCTCCGTCTCTGCTTTTGCCTTCTTGCCCTTCTTCTGTGGTGTCTTGCTTGCCTTTCCGATGCTGTTGCGTTTCTAGAAGGGGATAAACGACATATTGAGCGCTTCTTTTTCGGCCCATTGATTCTTTCCGAAGTATGGTCGTACGTACCCTTTTTCCTTCCTTGATCCCATCCTCCGACGGGCTCTGCAGGAATTTGAAAATCCGGTCGATTACGACGTCCTGCACAAAGGTGTGAGTAGAAAGCTTCGTGTATCGCGTCTTGCGAGGTCCAGGCGAACCTTTGCTCCTGCACTCTCCAGATGAAGTAGCGCCGCGAACTCCTTCAAGCCGTTCATCGTCCACTTCCCCAACTTCGCTAAAGCGGCATCATGTTCTTTCTGAGTATCGAGATGATTAGCCCAGATGTTCAAAAAGCACAGAAGCTCCTCTACATTGGACTCACGTCGGACTTGAAGTCAAATCCGTTGAACTTCAAGATATCCGCCTTCATATGCTTGTGCTGGTGTCAGCCGGAGTCAACGTATATGTGAGATTCTTCCCCGATTCAAGTGATTTGCGTCAGCAAGAGCGTGCATACCTGCGCCCTTCCCCAAATGAGGGTGTGGAATCCGTGCAGCAAATCATCGGCCGTTGAAACTTTTGCTATGGATTCGGCAACTAGGAAAGGTGGATACGCATCATCAGTAAGAGAGAACGCCATGTAAGTTTGAGAATCTCATCACTCACTCGGCTTGATGTCCTTCAACGGCGTGCCAGATCCCTAACAAACATCAAACAAGGGTCAGCTCATAAATTCCCTACAGTTCTTGCTGCTGCATTTCCCACCAACCTCCGGGATCGTGATAGTCCTGCTCTGCTTGACCGGTGTGGCTACCGTGTAGTGTTCCACCTGCTTCCGGTCTCTTTTCACGCGTCCTCCTTCGACCGCGTCCGCCTCTGCTGCGGGGTCCTTGGCATCGTCCGACTTTACTTGCAGTTTTCGGCCGCGTTTTTTCGGCTCGGGTTTCTGTGATGCAGCCTCTGCATCTTCTCCTTCTTCGGCGCTAACTCCTGCCGTTTTGACTGCCTGGGGTTTAACCTCCTCCGCTTTAACATCCGACGTTACTTTGGCTCCCTGGTCGCTCATCTTGGAAGGGTGAGCAAAACTGACGATTAGCCACTCCTTGTAGAGTGTGGCTTTCAACAAGCTGCCATTCCTTACCTTGAACTTCGATCGGCCGCAAAGCGCTGAAGTCGCCCACAGAACGGTAGTGGATTCTGGCCCCTGGGCAGTGGCCGGGGGAATGGGCTTATGCGGCTGTAAACTCGCAAGATCCTGGGGAAATCGAAAAGTAGGAGCCAAAGGACCCTTCCCAAGTTCCGCCTTCGGACATCCATGTCCAAGTGCGGCTTGACTTGCCAACGCGTTATAAAACCCAAGTCGGCCATGGTTTCGACAGTACTCAACACCATGAATATATCCGTGACCTCCACACTGGGGCGAGTGGACGCTTCGAGCGAACAAGCTTTGTCAACAGAACCTCTGTTTACTTCGCACAAACCTCGACAAGTACCATCGTCGTGGGATTTGCGTAAGTTAAGTTTACCTCCCTCCTTTACAAAATCTAGACCGTGCTAATGACGTCTTTTTCGGGTCCCTAAACTCTTTTGGTTCAAATGTCGTCACCAGGAACCCTGCCCTTGTGAGAAAGGAACAGATAGTGAGAAGCATTCGGAAGGAAGCTCTATAAAATGAGCAACAAGTTCTTCACAACCCAAGTTGGTTCTGCATACCGGTTACTGCGAGAACATTTCAGATCCACCTATCGTTCGCAAAACAATATCCATAACTAAAAACGTCCTCTCCTCACCACCAAAATGTCTTCCGAAAACCCCCCTTCCTATGAACCCAACCGCCGCTTCGTCTCGAACTTTGACGCCAAGAACCCGCAACATACCGCGGACTACAACGTCGGTCCCGCTGGAGCGCAGAGCTTCTACCCATCGGCGAACGAATACGTGCCCCCGACTGCCGAACCCTCGCAGGCCCACACCAGCTACCCCAACGTTGGCAACAGCACCAGCTACCCCAACGCTGTTGAACAGCACAATGGCAACTACCCGACCGCCCCGCCCGTCTCGAGCGCGCCGCTGCCTACTCCGCAGCAGCAAAGTACATACAATGTCCCGACTACAGTGCCCGCGACGCAGGCTGTGGTGTATGGAGAGACTGTGAATGTGAGTAATGCATATCTTCGTATTTCCATTAGGTTTCAGATGTTAACTCTCGTTTTGCCTTCGCCAGCTCCATTTCTACCGTGAAGGGTATGTCTGGCAAATCACATTACACTATCCTTTACTTTTCCTAGCTCCCCTCTTGACGAGCTCCATGCATTTTTAGATGGGTATCCCGCGACTGCCGTATCCTAGCTGGTGACAAGAAGAACATGGCGTACCATATCGAGGTAAGTTTTCGCTGCTCCGAAATCGTTACGACAAACCAGCCTAAACACGCTGTCGCTTTTTTTCCTTTCTCCAAAATTGACAGTATCCATACAGCTTTTTTGGCAGCTGGCATGTGAATATGCGCCGAAGCGGCCCGAAAGGTCCCACCATATTCTTGATCAAGAAGTCTGCGATTGGATCCGATTTCACCATTGAGGATCCCGTCAACACGAACCAGAGGGTTAAGCTGATCCGCTCTGGGGGTGTGATTGGGAAAAGGAAGCATGGTAGGTCTATGGTTCGCTACGTTCTTTAAAGATGTTCGGCGCTTTGGTAATTTTATTTCCTCTAGCTTTTATGGGTTCTGATGGCAAGCAGTATGCTTGGAAAGGGAACAATTTGGGGTAATAATTGCCATCACGAGGACTTCTTCAGTAGGAAAGACACTGACCGCATTGTTCTATTGTCTTGCTTTCAGTGGCGATCTCAAGCTCGTCTGCTACCCTCAGAAGACAGTTGCCGCGTTCTTCAATCGTACGAAGCACGCTTGGGCGAAAGAAGGTCGCTTGGAAATCTTGCCCTCCGGCCAGCACATCATGGATCTTATCGTAGCGACAGGGTTCTGTGTGGAGGAGTGGGAGCGCCAAAACCGTTAGTAGGTGTTCAGTGTCCACCCGGTAGGGTAGTAGCTTTTGGGGGTTGTGATAGGATCGCCGGCTTTCTTTGTATGTAGCTGGTGCATGTCGTAATAAAAAATGCATGCGAAACTTGCTCCTGATTAGCACTAGCTGTTAAGATATCCTTGAGCGAGCAGTTTGTCGATGGGAAGAGGACAATCGAATTGCTTTGTGGGCATCCTCCACGGGGCATGTCCAAGAAAAGTTCTCCCCGTTAGTTCCCGGGCGGTGTGAAACAACACATTTGCTCTATTTGCAAAAACTGCGAGTCTAAGGTATATGCTATTCAATCTACGCCCTATGACCTCACTCTACAACGCCTTTGTGAAAGGCTTCCCAGGTGTCTGAAGCCAGTTGTCCGCAGGGTAATCGGCAGCTCCATCAATGATATGGAAGGTATAAATCCATCGGCTCTTGTCAGACCGATTTGCCGTGGACTCATGCAGCACCGATCCGTGGATCTAAAACAAGAATGTGGTTAGTTCCGCTCGTTCGGAAATCCGAGATCCGGGAAATCTGATCCCCGCTCCTTCGCAACTTACCAAGACAAGGGTACCAACAGGCGTTGGCTCGCACACATATTCATCCTCCGACGGCAGGGATACTTCTTTGTTATCGAGATTCACAAAATCCGTTCCGCCGCCCTCCTTTCGCACGAACCGCTTGTGTACAGGTACGCCTGGATAAATGAGGTGCATCAGCTGCAGGCTCCAATCGGCGGTGTTCGGGGAAGCAATCGAAAGAGCCTACGCTTATGGGATCCTGGGGCAAAATACATGCACCCGTTTTCTGGGTTGCAATCCTCTAACGCAAACCACAGTCCAGTCGCAGATAACGGTTGTGTGTACAGGAAGGTGGAATCCTGGTGCGGGGGCACCTTTCCACCGATTTTGGGTTGCTGCATATGGATGGTGAGGCGATACATAACGGAGGCTTACTCAAAACACATTCGACGTACCTTGAAAATCATCATGCTTTGCAGGATGCGTGGATCCTTGTAACCTAGACTGCGGACAACACCTTGAACTTCAGGTCGGGAGGAGAATGCCTTAAATGCCGGTTCAAGCTCATGCAGGCCTAAATAAGGGCATGTTGTGTCAGTTCAAACGGCATTCGCAAGGAGGCGCATCGAACAGCACCCAGCACCCACCATGTCCAATCTTGTTGATCGCTCGCGTTTTGTCTACAAGCAGGTTTCCGTCCTTGTCGAAAGCATCCTCTATTCAAGGCCAGCAGGTCAGAACCGTGACCTCCCAGTTCTGTCCTCCCAATGTCCACGTATCTCACCCTCAAAGAAAAATCGAACTTTGTCCCCGCTGCTCAGAAAGTAGTCGTCCCCAACATGTGCAGACGTCTCTCCTGTTGAAAATTTGGTTCTGGGATGGCTGTCCAAATCCATCTCCTTGAGCAGGACTGCCGCTCTGTCCCGCAAGATCTGGGCATCCTTCGGCGGGAAGAAGTTCGGTAACACTAGATAACCATTGTCGTCGAAAGCCTTTTTCTGTTCTGGGGATAGACCATGTGCTTCGACCATACTGTGCGTATGTAAGTAAGTACTTCGGGGATGATGAATATGTTGTTTCTCACTCGCCTCACTCTTCTGGACGGCCGGGAAATCATGTTACAGTATTTTACCCCATGCGTTGGCGACGTACGGCCGCTCTAATGACTCTCCAGCCGTGCAATTGGACGCGATCGTCATGGATCACCCACCCACCACCTGTAACGGGGTTTGACATATATTCACAGCAATCTCAGGCCTCCCCCAGCCGTACTCGATTCTTCGCATCATCATCGTTGTAGAAATGGGCTGGAGAGGAAGCAGAAACCCCACGGCCCGTATGCCACATGTGTACTGTACATTTATGTGGGGAAGGACAGCTAGGGTTGAATTCGAAACCGCCAGAAATGATTTGATGCGGATCTTGGAAGCTTCGGAGGGTCCCGGATGGTTCTTTCGAGGGTCGGTCTGTGGTATGGGCCCATACGTGGATCCCAAGACGATCGTGCAATTTACCAAAACCCCCCTCTCCGAGTCGCCGTGACCTGGTTTGTGCAAAAACGCACAATCTTGAAGATCAAGTTGCCGTTGAATGTTGAACGCGCTGGCCGCTCTCTCCATACAGAAATATGTAAACCCGCCGCAGAGACGGACGGAGGCGTTCCTCCACTCCACTCACAACCACACGCACCTCCATTCGCTCTATTCATCACCGATCTACTGTATACAGCATCAATTCAGTCAGTCGCCGCCGCATATAACGCCAGAGAGATTGGCACTCGTTCTCCACTGCTATCAAACAACATGCCTGTGGTAGTGGGCCAGCCCGCGTGGGAAGGAGGCGCTTCTAGTCCAGGCGCGCTATCAGCCAGCTTGGTTCTGCCAACAACGGACAGGGATGCAAGCTCAAGGAAGCGGCACTTATCTTGGAGCAACAACGGCGAGTATCCTCAGGCACCCCTGTCTATTCCGCAGAGAGTCGAGTCTAGAGGTACGAATTCCGCACACGATCATCAGCTGTAGATTTTGCGCCGCAACTCCTGCTCACAATTCCCACTGGCCCCGCTCAGATCCGTTGAACGCAAAGAGCTATGCGGAGCTGACACCTAGGGAGCTGACGATGCTGCAGCAGGCTGCGTTTGCGAGGTTGAACGCCATTTTCAAACATTACAAAATGAAGCCCATGCCTGGGGCAATGCTGGACACAATAGCCGCAGAAACCACGGGCGGCACATCAAAGAGTAGCCGGAAGCTATTCTTCTGGAACAAATCCCGATCGAAAGACGCTGATTATATCCCAAAGGAAAACGAAAGTATGTGGCCTTTGGACCGCTTCTCAGCCTTGAACTTATCTCACGGAGATTTCCTTACATCCTACAGCGCCTTCCATAACCAATACCTATCTAGTGAGATCGCTGGACACAGCTTCGGCTGCTCGAGACTCGAATCAACGGAATGGCAAAACTTTGCAAATTCCGGTGCTGATACACGAATGCGTTGCCTTTCTCCGGAGAAACGGTCTCCAAGCCACCGGTGTATTTCGCGTGAATGGTTCGGAGCGGCGCATGGGTCAGCTGTTCGCCTCGTTCAATACACCACCAGACTACGGCCGCGCAGAATCATTAGATGGATACTCTGTGTATGATGTCGCGGGGGTTCTGAAAAAGTACCTTCGGAGCATCCCCGAGCCACTGTTGACCAGAGAGCTCTATCCTCAATTCATCAAATGCCTGGATATTCCGGCGGAAGGAGGCACACGGATCCGGGCTTTCCGATTGCTCATCATGCTACTGCCCGCGGCGCATCTGGTGTTATTGGAAACTCTCCTTGACCTGTTCAAGGAGATACTGGCAAATTCGAGTTATAACCAGATGAGCGCACACAGCATCGCTCGCATCATCAGTCCGAATATATTACGGCCACGGGAATCCAACTCGAAAAAGCAAGGGCTAGAAGAGTACGAACGCGGGACCTATATTCTGGAATACTTGATCCAGAACGAACAGCATCTGAGGATAACCAACTGGAGCGTACAACCGTTCCAAATCCTTGACATAGGGTACTATCAGATCATTCCTCAGGAATCGATGGGAATCAGCACACTCCCGCGCCAGGGTAGCTCGGAGAGACTGCGCCAGAAGACGGAGCCTGCACGACGCAGCGCTCGAGATTTTGAGGTTGTGCTGCCAGGCCCCGAACTGGCAGACTATCCCACGCATCACGAGGATCAGGAAAATGTGGTAGCGTCAGGGACCCGGATACGGCGGGTCAAGACTGTGCCATCGAAAAGGAGTCGAGCTACCCCAACAATAGGTTTGTTGATTTGTATATGTATACGTAATGCTTTTCCCCTTTGAACAGAAGGTCTTACGTGCAGTTATCTTACTAGATCCTGCACCAGTAGAACTCCCGCACACCGCGTCATCACAGTCCTTACAAGATCTCCAGCACTATCGACGGAAACACACGTATGCATCTCACAAACTAGTGAAGCCAACACCCCCTCCCATAGAACCGCCCCAACTACAGCGGCGTGCAATGACGGTCGCGTCCACTCCGTCGAAATCTTCGTTGGGAAGTGCGTCACTCCGACGGCAAATCTTAGTTCCGCCCCGGATGGAAGAATGGGAGGTTGTCAACGCACAGCTGCTTGGTGCTGAGATCAAATCTCGGCGTTACTAAAGTTAACCGCAAAAGTAATGGCCATCAATAGCATTTTACTGGGATACTGCCTGGGCAATGTAACCCCTAGCCTAAGAGGACTTCCCACATTTTGTTCACATGACGTGATCGTCTTCAACCATTGATTTTGTCGATATGGAATCTTCTGAATCACCTGCGCGGATGTCGAAGTAGATAAGTGCGCTGCGAAAAGCTTGAATCCAACAGTGCCCGGAGATCTCGTTAAGGGCTCCTATATCGTGGCTTTCTCAACGCAATCTGACGCCCGAAAGCGTACAGCACGAGAGTTGCCCGGAAGCGGAGTTTGGCAGCTCCAAGATTTGTACCAGAGCGCAGTCACGGGGGTAAATCAGGGCGTACTACGTAGTAAAGGTGTTCCGGAAGGCCGTGCAATCCCTTGCAATTATTTCGAATAGTGACGGGCTCCGCTTTCCGAATTACAAGTTGCCTTCATCGGCGACGCCTCAGGCGGAGGTACAATGATGTGGATGGCAGATAACCACCACGGAAAATGGGATGGGGTGAAATCTAGACTACCGGTTACGGGAGAATGCGTCTGGTCTGCGGCCATTGCCAAACACCACCGAACGCACAATCAAGAGGAAATTCTTGGTGCTTAGGACGTCCCGATTGTGCAGTCTCATCCGTAGTCGTAGTGGTCGTCTTCCAGGAATCTCAAATGGTGTCCAGTCTTGGTTGATACATTCGGGTTTGGGGCAACCCACCAATCCATGGACGTATTCCATTCTTCCCTTTCTAGCTTGCCATGGCCGAGATGACAGCTGCTGTCGGATGTTTTTCTTCACACGGCTGTGGCAGTCGGGGCACACGGACGACGTTCGATACTCATCCAGCAAGTAGCATGGAATGCCGTTTCTCGCAAAGAGTGTGCGAAATCTGTTCCATGATGAGTTAGCATAATAGAATACATAGTAGATACCGCCAATCATGGTCACTCACCCCTTGGTCTTTGATGACTCCTGAAAGCGCATGGTCTTTCCAGCGTCGCTCCAATCACCCAAAATGACCGAAAAATGCTTTCCATACAGGCGTCGCATGTTCTTGATGAGCTTGCTCTCAGACTTTTGCTGGAGTGAGAACGCCTTGAATCTGCGAGCCACGTGAATCTCATCCTGGTAAAACCCATCCAGGGTGGGATCTGGGATATGGATGGATGTCAGCCCATGTGTTACCAAAGTTGAAAATCAAAGTTGAAGTAGAACATCATACCCGCATGTTCGTAATCCACAATGAACGCTGAGAATGCCTCGATGTTCATGCTCCTGTGCGACGGAATATGTGATTCCATCTCAGCGATGCCGGCATTGATCTTTCGCTCTCTCATGTCTCTTTGGAAGTACCGAGACTTTGTCTCGACCGCCTGTTGATTGGATGTGTATCTGATATGGGGTGGTGCATTGTGAGGACGCTGCAACGGAATGTCGCCGCAACGGGGATGGCGGAGACGGGGGGCTGGCCGGCGGAGACGGGGGGCTGGCGGGCGGAGACGGGGGGCGGGCGGGTGGAGACGGGGGGACTGGCGGGTGGAGACGGGGGGCTGGCGGGCGGAGACGGGGGGCTGGCGGGCGGAGACAGGGGGCTGGCGGGCGGAGACGGGGGGCTGGCGGGCGGAGACGGGGGGCTGGCGGGCGGAGACAGGGGGCTGGCGGGTGGAGACGGGGGGCTGGCGGGTGGAGACGGGGGGCTGGCGGGCGGAGACGGGGGGCTGGCGGGCGGAGACGGGGGGCTGGCGGGCGGAGACGGGGGCTGGCGGGTGGAGACCGTGGGCTGGCGGGCAGAGAGGGGGGGGCTGGCGGGCGGAGACGGGGGGGGGGGGTAGCGGGGACAGCAGGGCAGTAGTAATCAACTGAAACGTACCGAAACAGCCGCTCCTTCTTGATGTCTCGACGGAACAAGAGGTTACGCTTGTTTAGATCAATGCTGACGATGTTTGGAGCATCCCTTAGTTGACCGAACAGATGACTGGATTCGAGATTTGCGCAGCGGGATAGCGGAAAACAGGCGCATTCCACGGCGCTCATAGAGGCGCGAGAGCTCACAGTAGGCGCCTATGACGAGGGCAGGTGCGGACCATGATTAGACAAAAGAGGAAGCCGCGGGGGGGGGGGGGGGGGGGGTAAATGTACGGGACATAGCTCACCTAAATATGGCATTGCGTCCACCGCAAGGCTGTATGCAAGCGGCTCAATCTGGGGAGGAAACAGAGCCCATAACTCGTCGAGGATGGTCCGCTCAAGTCGTGTGAGGCGCGCAAGCTCCTCTTCGGTTGGGTACTCTTCAAATGTCGCGTACTTTGTAAATTGACGGACACAACGATAATAGCGTCGCCGCTGCGCTCTCCGGAGATGCCGTTTGACTTGCTTCAAACCAAGCCTTTCATTGACGTAGCGCAGAAACATTTGCATGAAATGCTCTTGTACGTTAACTTTGAGGTTTGTGAGGATGCTCGTAGCCGTGTACGCTGCGGTCTGTTGGCAATTTCGCATGCGGATGGGGGCAAATCCGTGAACATTACAGTAGTCTTAATCCCATGGACGCAACTCTTGCGCGATGAGCGGATTGCCATTGTAGCCTGGATTGTTGAGCAGCTCAAACATCACACTGATGTGCTTGTCGGTGATGTCCGGGAAATCGTGTAGAGGATGATCAGCTGTGGTGGGGTGGGCAGATGTAGCAGTCAGGACATTGTTTTATGGGAAATATACAGTATAGTGTACCTCAAAAACTCACCAAGGTAGTACTTGATAAAGAAGGTGGTGTGGCGCACAAGGACGTGAACATCGGCGATGAACGTTGCCAGGCGCTCCCTTTGAACTTGATTTCGATTATGGATGATTCAGTGAAGCAAAACCTTGGTGCTGGCATGTGTTTGCGGGCGGGGTCGTTGAACTGGTGGTGGTGGTGGTGGCGGGGGTTCATACACCAGGGATCCACCCGGTGTGCTGGGAAAACAGAAAGGGATGGGCGCGGGGAGGTTCAGCGGGCGCTGCAGACCCCTGTCCACAGGTGAAAGCCCTCGCTGCTGCTGGTGCTGTTGCCCGTCTTCATCGCTGGAACTCTCGCTAACCATGTCTGCAATTGCTTGGGGCAAGTGGCGATGGACAGAAGGTGGGAACTCGAATCGCGGGGGTGGTTGCAATGGTGTCTGCACAGCGGTTGGCAGACGTATGGGCAACCGCGGGGTAACCGGAGCAACCTTCCTCCTCTTCCGCCGTGGTGTGGTTGCTCCAGTAAAGATGCCGCACCACAGGTGCCCCTGGAGCGCCTGGTGTGATGGCATGATGGCAGTGCTGTGCCTTTTGCGTGCCTGCTAGAGATGAGGTGTTGCAGGTGATTGCCGTGATAGCTGTGTGTCAAAGAACTCGCGTCAGTGCTGTGGTAATGAAGCTGAGAACGGTGAGGAATTGCGGTTGTTACCTGGTAGCGGCTGAAGGTGAAAACGGGGATGCTTACTGCCCACAATTGCGTTGGGAAGGAAGGGGGTTGGGAAGGAGGTTTGGTATGTAATTGGGGGCCATGATGAGGTGCAATCAAGAGCGTGAGTTGTGGGAAGAGTGAGGAAGAGTAGAGTGAGGATTGTCCTTTACACGCGTGTAAAGGACGTGGAGTAGCTTCCAGGGCAGCTAGCTGGGCAGCTACCTGGGCAGCTAGCTGGGCAGCTATAAACAAAAACACACCCAAACATGACGGCAGTGGCAGTGGCTGGAGGTAAGGAGTAAAGAGTAAGGAGGGTCCGAAGCCGATGATGGCGCAGTATATCTATACAAAAAAGGCACGTATGATCGCACTGGTAGCACTACCTTCATTAATACCCCTCTCTCCTCAGGCATCAACGATGCGCAAGGGTTTTTCTACATCAACTACTGGAATTCCGAAAAACGCACACTACTCAGCCAGTTTCTTTCTTTAGTGTAATCCGAAAACACCATCTGGCAGCCCAGTGGATGCAGATGTAGGCCGCAATTTGCCATAGCTGGAAAAAATCGATGTGCAGCGCACAAGCCGGTTCTTATCCACAAACGGGCACTGCCACAAGAAAGAGCACCCAAAAAGACGCTGCCAGTGGGTGCCTGTGGTCCTCTGCGCCATGGAAAAACTCACACCCAACCGCTTGGGGCGGTGTTGCAGGTCCCATAATGACACCGCTTTTTCTCCCGCTCTCAGCTAGGCCACTTGTGGCAAAATGCCGGAATATGCAAACGGCAGGTGTCAATCCTCATGCGGGCCTGCAAATGTTCTCCTCGACCGCAGTCAAGTCTCACGTCCCATGCGTTTCCATTTTGCAGCGGTCGTTTGCAACCGTGGGGATAAAGAGGAGGAGACCTCTACCGGCAACGAGGTGCCCAAGTATGATGCCGCTGGGACGTAGGAATGTTCAGTATTCTTCGCTTTCTTTGCTGACAATTTCGGTGTCCAGCCAGGATATGTAAATTTAGACGTCATTATTATATGCCTACACTGTCAAAATACTGTCAAACCTACCTACTTTTGCTGTCTCTGAGACCTCTTTCTCGCTCTCTCTTCTTCCAACCTCAGCACACGCCGAGATCCACACCCCGACACAGCAACAACAACAACGACAACACAACAACAACAATGACAACACAACAACAGCGACAACAACGACAACAACCATGCCCAAAGCACCCCCACGCTGGATCAGTGCATAGCATAAACCAATGGTTTATGCTATGCACTGATCCACTATACAATTGCACTGTGCATTAACCGTACTGACTCCACTCAACACTGTGCATTAACCGTAACGGCTGCTGAAAGTGTAATGCATTAACCGTACTGGCGGGTGTATGGTGTAATGTATTAACAATGTACCCTACACCTTCGGTGTTATGCATTAACCGCACAAGCCTTTCAGCCATTAACCATCCTTCCGCAATTTGGGAAAGGGGGCAAAGTCAAAATTCCCCCCTACATGCGTCGAGTCCAACCAACCTTTCTATACTTCCCCATTCCGTGTTCCATGTAGGGGGGCAAAAAGGCAATTTTCGAACCAACTCTCACCACCAAAAAGAGACATCCTTTTCTCATTCTTCTTTTCAAAACTTTTCATATATCCTCTCATAGGTTTAGAAACTGCCAAAATGCCCCCCCTGTATCTTTTTCCCGTCTGCGGGGGCATTTTTGAAAAAGGGGGGCAAAACAAAATGCCCCCCTACATGCGTCTAGCCAAACCACCCTTCCTATCTATTCGCCCATACCATATTTCATGTAGGGGGGCAAAAAGGCAATTTTCAAACCCACCCTCTCCCACACAAATCACACTTCTTTTCTCATTATTGCTTCTCAAATACTTTTAATATATTCTCTCATAGGTTTTGAAACTGCCAAAATGCCCCCCTACATCTATTATCCCGTCCTCACTCTCTCTTTTCTTTCCACTTCTCTACATTCCTCTAGGGGGGCATTTTCACTTTGCCCCACTTCTCAAAATGCCCCCCGCTTATTCTGAGAAAATAGATTTCCCTACTTTATTAGTCGACCCCGTTACAGTAAATGACAAACTCATACTCTACTGTGACATCCACCAATACGAACATTCTTTCATTTTTCAAAATTACATTACATTGAAACCTATCATTACTTTCCCTCAGAACTCTAGTCTGCATTATCACGCACGGCATCGGTAGTGGTTTCTGAACTATTTTCTTCAACTTTGCCAGTGCCAAAGGCCCACTCGTTGGGCATGGAGATACTCTCTGTGACAGCGTTATTCTTGACAAACTCTAATTTTCCCGGCTTGTCAAAGCAAGCCCATTCCTTCTTCTCGTTTTCAATCCAACGGTCGTATAGTTTTCGCCAGACAGGTTTCATGATGGAATTGAATCTGCAAAAGTCCCGTTCGTATTCTTTGCATTCCCAACCTGAACCCATTATCGTACCAGTGATGAATCGGCAGCGAGTTATGAAGTCCTCGTCGGAGATCTTTTCGCGGTGCGAAACTGCCATTAACCTTTTGACAAGCGGTTTACTTAAAAAAGACATGTTTAATGCTCACGTCTCCAATCTGCACCTTGTCGCTTCTATATAAACCTTGGTGTGGGACCGAAACCAAATCCGATAACAACTTACATTCGATATCAACTGTCAAGAAATGAGGTTATATGACATGATCAGCGGTCATTGAACTCGAAACAAATCTATAAACGGTCAAGTAGGTATCTGAATACTATTCATTCTCCGAATTCTCTACGTTCCTCTAAGGGGCATTTCCCTTTGCCCCACTTCTCAAAATGCCCCCGCCGTTCGTGTGATGGGCTTTGTAAAATCGCCCACCCCCAACGTAAAGAGGTTCGTAAAAATCGCCCCCACTGGGGGTGTTTTGTTCCGGACGCCTTGCATAATTTTGGAGTGGGCGATTTCGAGACGTAGTTCAAATTTGTGGGGGTGATTTTGTTGAGACAGGTTCAACAGTGGTGGGGACGATTTTGTTGCTTCATCCCGAAATACTGTGGACGCATTTTCTCCAACAGCCAAAGTCAATTTCTTGAGTAAATTCAAACCAATGCCAAACGTTTTTGAAATCAGTTCGGATATCAAGTGTATAGAGGGAGTTGTTGTTATTCGTTTTTTCGTAGCAGACCTCGATAGTCTGGAACGAATATGTCGGTCTATGTTAAACAAACCCGGTTACATGGCATACATCAAAGTAAATGACGAGAATTGGGAGATTTTTAAACAGATCTACAACATTTTTACAAAGAAAAATAATCGTCTCCGTAAAGATTTCATTTTTCAAAGCGGGTATTTAGGTATCACAGATGATAAGGGACAACTGAGAATGCTATGTGGAACAGACAAAGACCATCGAGCGTGTGTTCTTGATATTGATACTTAGTAGCATTGCGTCCAAAAGTTGAGGTAGGAATTAGACAACGTTATAGATGTTGGTATGACAATCCTTGCGCTTAATTGAGTATTTGTCGAAGAGAAGAGCAATGGAATTTGGAAACTGAACGGATACTTTGTGTTATACGTGTTGATATCGCAATAATACGATACCCCTCTCGCGGCGATAACAGTAGAAGATTGGTCTAATATTTGAACAGTTATTGTTACCCGTGAGTTCATAGCGTTCATGGCCCCAACAAACGAAACATGCGCAACAACTCCGGACATCCCGACTTTCCAATTTATGGGACCAAAGCCTCCCGTATAGCCGTTACCATTCGTCAACAACGTATCAACCACACCGTCTTTGATACAAACAGCAGATTGAATGATTTGTGAAGCATAGATGTTTGTAGAACAGGTCAAATCATTCTTGACCAAGGCTGTTGAATTACATGTAAGAGTGTTTGTGGTTGTGGCAAGAGAAACATCCAGAGTATTTGCAGAAGCGCTAACAAGGGTCGCTTTGGGAACAGCCTGATTATATTGAATATTTCGGATAGCGACCCCTCCGGTTGTGGTTTGATTTGCGTATGCCCATGCGATACCCCATACTACATAAGGCGTGGTATTTGCAAAAATAAATGAATTCCCATCTGTGGTCCAAGTCGAACCAGATATATTCGAAAACGTTGCGATTGTTACCATAGCCGACTCGGTTGTTCCGGCAATCACGGAGAAAGTAGTAGGCATCGCCACGGCGTCCATCAGGTAGGCGGTGAGTTTGATTGAACTCATAGCAATGGCCGACGGGAGTCTCAATAACGAGTAATGAACAGACTGTGTTGTTCCATCTAAGCCTAAATTGGCTGTTGAAGTGCTTGCAGTTGCCCACCGCAGTCTGGAAGCGATTGTTGCGTTTGAGTAAGCGTCCCACGGGTGCCCTGTGTAACCATCACTTCCATTTCCATTTGCATACGTGTATTCGCTGGAGGCTGTAACTGTATAACCGTTCCAAGATGAAGAACCTGTTGCTGGCGTCTGTGGATATGGAATGAAAGTGGTTTTCGATGTTAAGGCAGGACTGTTCAAATCACCGGTCACATTGAGATTTGACCCGACATATAAAGATTTCGCTACAGATGCGCCTCCACTCACCTGAAGAGCGCCTGATGCGTTAGAAGTGGCATCAGTAGTGGTCAAGATCGATACAGTACCACTGTTGTTCAGATTTCCCCCAACATATAAAGATTTCGCTACAGAAATCCCTCCAGAAACTTGGAAAGAACCGGTTCCTACTCCTGTAGAATCCGTTGTGGTAAAGACCGCGACGTTACCACTGCTGGTGTAGACTTTAAACCAAGTGGTATTTTCGGCCGAATTCCACACGGAAAAATCTCCTACAGTTCTCAAGTCGTCCCATACTCTGAC